CGATGGCGACAAGATGGAACAATAAAACTTGAACATCAACAGGCGTCGTCCTAATCCTCAAAGGTAATTCGGCCGGGACCATGGTTCTTCATATAGCGCCTGTAGGCCTTGTAACGCGGATTCTCGGCCAGCTTTTTCTTCATGTCCTCATCCTGATCGGCCTTCCACGCAACAAAATTGTCGCGCTGCCACCAGCTCCAGCTGCAGATACTCCTCGATCTGTTTATCCTCAAGTGCATTGAACTGATGCTGGCCCATGCCCATGTGACGACGTATCAGATAAAGCTGCTGTTCCCGTCCGTACGGCTGCTTGAGCACCGTATAGCGCCAGAACCACAGCGCATGCCACACAATAAAATTGAAAAGCGTATACGGGCAGATGAGCAACTGCACCCAAAGCACATCCCAAAGCGTGGGCTTCGCATAGCCGCCCTGCACGTCCATCTTCTCCTCGATCACCTTTCGTATGATGCGCTCCAGTTCCTCTTTCTGTTCGGTTTTCGATAAACTCTTGCGATTCTTACCCTTTCGTGTATGCACACGCTCCTGGATCTCATCGCGCGCAATATCCAGCGCCTTGTTGCGATACTTGGGCACCGTCGCAAAGTATTTATGGCGGCGTCATAGCGCTGCCAGCCTGAATAGTACTGAATCACCGATATGATGGTCAACGTAACTACAATCACCACCGCACATCCACTTTGGGCGCAACACGTCGACGATAGTAGCGATAATAATGCGCATAGTATGCGTCCGGATTGTCCAACATGTAGTCGTAGTCGGTGCGGGATTCCTCATCGCGCAGTATCTCGTAGGCGGTGCCAACAGTTTGAACTGCTCCTCGGCCAGCGCTTTGGCCTCCTCGCCGCGATGCAGATCGGGATGATGCTTGCGTGCCAATAGGCGATAGGCTTTGCCAATCTCTGACTTGGACGATTCACGTGTGACGCCCAGCACATCGTAGCAGTTCTCTTTGCCGCAATATAGACCATCCAGAAGGCCCAGACACAACGTGGGCAAGATGCTGACCAACAGGCAGGTGTACAGCCACCTTTGGGACTGTGTGTGTGGCATTTTGTAGGTATTTTGTGTATGTGTGTGCTAAGGGCGGCAAGCAACAGCTGTTGCTCCTGGCTGCGGGTCAAACTGTTTGACAGTTTCACTGACTGATGCCCCAATGAGTAAGTGTGCGTGCTTTGCTTGGCAACTGTAGTTCTCTGTTCTCCGCTACGTTGCTTCTATGCTGGCGCTTAGAGGCCTTTGGCACTTTCACCACGGCTTCTTAATGTTCTTAGCAGTTGTCTAGAGTTGTATTGGTTGTACCAGTGGAATCACATGATTCCGTGGCGCTTTAAATTGAACTAGTTCTTTTGCATCGGTTCGCAAGAAGTTACGATTAGAGATTAGTATTAGCATTAAAGCATTAACATTTTTTGTGATTATTCAGCACTATCGAAACTTTTTTTTTTAAATTATCTAACATTCTCTAAGGACGAATATAGCAAAGACTACATGTTATAATTTCATTGTTATTATTTTTTTTATATTATTATAAAATGCACAAAACTTAACTTAAACTTTAGCAAGCAAAGGCCTTCAGCTTATTGAGAAGATTTTAGTTTAATTTCATTTTTATTTATTATTGAATTGTATCTGGTAATCTATTTCCATTGTAGATCCTTGCATGTTGAAAGCTATTTGTATTTTTTTTTTTTAAATCAAGCGCGCTTTTTGTGAAAAACTAGTTCAATTCGTAAAACGATTGCTTAGTTCCGATAGCTATTGCTATTAATCGGCGTCTTGTTTATAGAATGTATAAAAGAATACCATGGAGTTTATAAGTAATGTTGAAGATGTTAAAAGGACCATTATTGAAAACACCGAGTTATAAAGTCGTTGGAAAACTGTAAGTCGCCATCATCAATGCCGGCGGTCGGTGTGTTTTAAAATGTTGCGATTCTTTAAAGGTTGCGATGACAGTTTCCACAGCCAAATACAAAAAATGATCAGTGAAACATTGAAGGAGCGCTTGGAGCTAGGCGAACGTCTAATTGCCATGAAGGCCAAGCAGAAACGCATCGATGCTGTATTACAACAAGGATTGGCTGAAACCGATATAGTGGAAGACTTAAACAAGCAGTGCTTACAATCATTTGAAAAGGAAGATAAAAGCGCATCAATGTTAAAATAACGTCAGAGTACAAACAGTTTAAACGGAACTGGAAGCCGTTAATGCTGACTCGGGTGCCACAAACACAGAAGATGAGGATGTGGCCGAAGTCATGCAGCCCGGTGTCATGGTGGTCTCAATGCATGACCCGTGGTCCAAGGCACTCATGTTGAATGCAGTGCGCAACATTAATTGCGGTCATCATTATGAACATGATTCAGTGCAGGCTATTATAAAAGACAACATGGGTATACGCTGTCCAGTAGTAGGTTGCGCAAGCAAATCTTATATACAGCCGCATCATCTGGAACCCGATATGGCTTTGCGTGCGAAAATTAGAGCCTATAAAGCTGAACTGGAGTTTGCGGAAACATTGTCAGATGGAGAAAATTAAAGAGAAAGCATGTCCAGAAATCCATAACAAACCAATATACAAGTTTTGGGATGAAAATGATGTTAACTATAATATATTAGAAGACCATAACACATGAGTGTGGATTTCTAAATATACAATTAGAAGGAATTAAATTAGTCAATAATTGAAGTTTTTAAATGTTGGCAAAACCAAATTATCTTCGGTAGTATTCCGAAAACAATCGATAGGCTTTGAGCGATAATCGCACATGGCCATACTATATCTAGCGTTGCCAGATAGTTAAGAATCTGGCAACGCTCAGCACAGCTGTTCGCCCAAAACAAATTGCAAATATTTCCCAAATAATTTGGCATAAACTCGAAACGCGTTTAACAACCAATGCGCATGCAGCGTGTTAATAATTTGGACGCTGTAGCACGGGAGCATCAGCAACAACGAAAGCATCGTTTTCAGATTTGACGCAGCCAACTGCCTGGAAAAACCGCTGGCAATGATGCCGATGCCCATGCCCGCATACGCATACGATGTGGCAGCCGCACTCACACGCTTGCTAAGAAGACGCATTATTAATATAATTCTAGTACTGCTGGCCCTTCTCTATATATTCGAAAGCCTCTTTGATCGGGTAAGCGGTGTGAACTGAGAATTCGCTTTTATTAAGTGATTTTATTACTCTGCTTTACGCTCAGCAGAAGGGTGCCTGTAGCGCGCTACATTACGATGAGTATAAAGCCCAACGAACACGTCCGCTGCTTTGGCAGCAACAGTTGCTGCTGCCGGAAGAACATATCAATCGAACCCGCGATCCGGATCTACGTTGTCGCAATTCGGCTGCAGGGAAGTCAACTGCTGGCCGATGAGCGTGGTTCGTATGTTTACGTGAGCAGATGCTGGCCAATGGCTGTTGTAACGTGGAGCTGGCCGGAATTAGCTACTATAGCTGCCACAGCTGCAACTCCACATCGCACTGCTGCGGCGTCTATGAATACTGTGTGTCCTGTTGCCTGCATCCTAACAAACGGTCGCTGCTGGAGCAGGTGCTGCAGGCGCAAGACACACAAAATACATCTATGCCAGCGTGGTGGATCACTTTGAGCTGTGCCTCGTCAAGTGCCGCACCAATTCACACTCTGTTGAGCACGAGAACAAGTACCGCAACGAAGCAGCCAAGTATTGCTATGGCACCACCGAGGCGCACGAGTCGCAGCGCGAAGTGGCGCCCAGAGGTGGCCAGGGTTAGTCAGATCACAGCCCAAAGGCAAGTGCAATCTCTATATCTCTTTGTTCGATTGTTTTTTTTTTTTGTAATTGTCGTGGGCTATTGCCTTGATTGTCCAAATTAAAATGAATGGACAGGTCAAGGGTTAAAATCTCTCAACGGACTCCTTATTGTTGGTACAATTGACAATTCGACAGAGTTTTTAGTTATAATTCGCAATCCTAAACAGTTAGGGCGTTTATAGGGCAATTAATGCTCGATTTTTGTTTTATCTCAGGTTTTAGACATAATCTTTAAGTTGCCACGTTCAATGGATTCACAATTCATTCTGGGTGTTATGAACAATTTTCTGAAATCTATATATATATATATATATATATATATATATATATATATATATATATATATATATATATATATATATAAATATAGCGACATGTTAGGGTATTTTTTTTTTTTTTTTTTTTTTTTTTTTGTGATATTCATAATGATGTACATACACACTTATCATTTATATTTTAGGCTTTATAATGTTGTGCTTTAACAATAGTAATTTATTCAAATAATACAGAAAACATTGAGGGTACGCTTGATACCTGTGTAAAATAGCTTTTAAGTGATTGGATTATTCTTGTGAGGGCACCAAAGGCTCCTGGAAGACTTCGTTGTGATTGATGCCATAATGAATGATGCCGTCTCGCACGTAACCCCAGGCCATGCGGCGTGATGTCCAACTGATGCCCACCTCGCCCTTGTGGTCAATAACAATGGCGCCGCCGGTGCCGCCGATGCGATCTGTCATCTTCTGGCATTCCTGCTTGGCGGCAGCTTGCGCGGAGAGTCCCTGATGCTGGATGGCGCCCAATATACGTTGAGCTAGATTGTAGCGCATTATGGTCTCACCATGGCCTGTAGTAGAGATGCCGCCAATAGTATTTTCAGCATAGGTACCACAGCCGAGCAGAGGAGTATCGCCAATTCGTCCCGGCCATTTGCCTGTGATGCCGCCCGTTGAGGTGCCCACCACAATTAGTCCGCTCGTGTCCATGGCAACGGCGCCCACAGTATCTCCATTCGGATCGGTGCGTGCCTTATCTAGCTCGGTGCGAGCAAAAGTGGTGTCTAAGCCCTGCGCCTCCTGCTGCTTAAACTCTCGCAATGCCTGCTGAGCGCTCTCCGTAACAAGGGAGCCAGCCGGCAGCCGCTCGATGCCAGAGCTTAGCGCCAAGTCCAATGCCGCCTGGCCGCCAAGGAAAACATGACGTCGCCTTTCCATCAACCGGCGTGCCACTGTGATCGGATGCATAACATCACACAGCAGTGTTACACAGCCGGCACGCAAATCGCGGCCCTCCATAAAACTGGCCTCCATTTCCACGCCGCCGGCGGTGTTAAGGCAGGAACCATAGCCCGCATTAAACGACTCATCCAGCTCCATGGAACGCACGGCCGTCTCAACGGCATCCAGTGCGCTGCCAGATGCTTCTGTTGTCGGCTCAAAATGCTTCCAGGCAGCACGTAGCGCGTCCTTGATGCCCTTGAACTTGCCGGCAACGCGGGAGTCGGTTATGTCCCCCGCTCCACCATGTATCAGGATCACTGGGTGTGGCATATTTTTTTGTTTGCTCTCAACTGTTGCTTGTGCTTGTTTCCGAACACGACACTGACTGACGCTTCCAATTGCTGCGCTCAGTTTGCCTTTGTGCTCTTCTTGCTGCTCTATCGTTCGCTTTATGTTTCTTTTCTGCTTATCTTTATTGCTTTGTTTCTGTTTGCTGTTCTCAGCTTGTATTAGGGTGGACCCGTTTCAAGACATTCGCGATTGCATCTGCGCCGCATCCGTTTGATGTGTTGATGAATTAACCAATTTAGATAAATGATGGTGATTTCGATAGCTGTGCATTGATTTGTTATTTGATTCAACATCTCTATATGTATATGAAACTGTTCGTCCCGACTGACTGATTGACTGACTGACTGACTGATTGGTGATCAGTAGTTACCTTATATGATGTATCGCACGTTAAGACAGGATTTCGGGAAATACCACCCGCATATGTGAAAAGTTCGGGAAAAACGTTGGCATGAAACTTGTTTGTTTATTATCCGATCGGAACCAAATTTATTTTCAAAGACCTTTGTTTAAATTCATTTGTGGGTTTTTCACACCTTTCAAGAAATGAATTCCGCCTTGGTTTAAATGGGGGTCAAAGATTTGGTGGGTGACGTTTTGTATTCGAATTCAGTAGAAATAGGATTTAAAGATTTTTTGAGCGAAGTTTTAAGTTTTGTCCGATTTGCATCAAACTTAAGAATACGTGTTTCAGCCAAAAAAATGGTTGCATGTAGGTTTTTAGCTTACCGTCCGATTGGCTTCAAAATCAATTTCGGTAATCTTCTTGGGTGGCAAATATGGGTCAAAGGTTTCATAAATGAAAGTTTACTCTTTAGCTTCAAGATTTTCATCGCAAGACTAACATGGGCGGGAAACGGTTGATTCCAAAACTTGGTTCTTTTTTCGATGCACTTAAAACATATTTTTTAATAAAATTGATTTGAATTTTCTACGGGTGGGTACTTAGTGGAAAGGTAATATCTAAAATTTTTGGCACGAAAAGTTCCACGGGCAAGGCCGGGCAATATCCGCTAGTATATGTATATTTCTATGGTTTCTATTAGTATATTAGGAATACAAATTTTATTAGCTTCTACGGCCTTTGACTAACAATTTCCTAAATGAGCCTGTCTAAGGAATATATATATTTAACCAACTAGATATCGAATAGGAATTCTTGAATAAAGTAGGCATTTGATTTAATTTAAAATTTTGTAAAATTTGGGTAGCCATGCTTTTAATGTTGATTGCTTGCTAAAAGGTGCCGAATCAAAAAGCAAATAAAATTGTGTCCGGATTGCAGAGCAAGAAGAAAAAAAATAAATAGAAAATTTGACAGACAAATCTGGTAAAAATCAAATTTGAACGCGAATTTAAAGTGAAGTGCAATTAACACACCTTGAAAACGACAGATCGCCATGGATCCCATGAAATCAAATGCTGAGATAAAAGACCTTATGAAGACTGACAGCATTGACCAATGGAATGGGCCAGATCCTGGTACCGTTACGGTGGCCACACAAACCGAAGATTTGAAAATTCGTAGCTTGGAGACCATACCGCAACCTCGAAAATTTGCTAGGCCCAAGACAACGTATCAGCAGCAGCAGAAGTGGCCAGATATGAATCTGGACGTAACCAATGAGACAGACAAGTGCACAACTCGCAACAAGGCGTGTCAGACTATTAAAACTGGTGTCAAGCGATTATCGACCGATTCCCAAATGGATAATCTGCGGGCCGTTATGTATCAAAGACGAAAAATGGCCATAGACATGGATCGGGCCCATTTAGAGAAGTTAATGGAGACAATTAATGCCGATCCACCGCCCCCCTGGCATGAGGCGTCACTCCTGTGGCTGGAGGTCGACAAGTTGGAGAATCGCATTGAGGAATTCGACAAAGGCAAGACACCGTAACAAGTTACACGAAGAGCGAAACATAATCCGTCCATAGCTATATTGTGATTGTATAAATAATTTACAGCTTTAATAGTTAAATATATATATAGTATGTACCACCTAACAGCTTACAGATAAAGGAAAAGGGAAATACGGAGGCCGGATCTATTGGAACTAACATATATTCAAATATTCAATAAGCACGAATAAGTCTTCGAGCAGAGGCGTGCGCTGTCAGTTCAGGCTCCGGATAATTTGAGCGAAAGGATCTCTTAATTATTCTTTGCTAGCCAGGCGGCACTCCAAGAACCAAGACCCTTTTACAATTGCGCCAAAGCTGGTCGGCTACTGATTTCAGCAGCTGAATATGCTAGCTGCCAGTACGTTCCCATTGAGGAATATTTGCTAATATGGCCGACTTCTAAGCCGAGCAAGAGGCAAAAATTCGCCTCCCCAAGGAACAGCGAATTGAACCACGTCTATACTAGGCCGAATTTTTGGTGTAAGTGTAAGCACCCGATTTCTGCACCGGAGAAAAGTATAACATATATAACCCAATAGTCTATTGCCTCAAAAACTGAAACCCAGTACGATTCTGTGTAGGGGATCAGAAGACAGAAAACTTTCTTTGTGAATCCCCTGTACCTCTGCGCGGTGAAAAATAATAATTTTAATAATAATAATATTAATAACAATACCATCAACTAAATATCGGGTAGATGTACTTTATGTCGAAGGTCAAACAAAATAATTCTGTTCAGCTTCGAGTGCCTGCGTGTGTGTGTGTCCTTAAGATTTAATTGAAATTCAAGTGCCTTGACTTTTTACCATATGGATGATCCCTTTTGCATGGGATATGACGAACAAATGACCTGTTTCAAGGCCTGTTCTTTGCCTGGGTGCGGGCTTGTTTGTGCTCAACCAGCTGACATGGTAAACGCAACCAGGCGCGCACATGCATGCACACGCACACAAGCACACACACGCACTTTCATGCATACACAGATTCGGATGTGTTTCTGCATATTTAAAGGGGGGCGTGGCAGCGTGATGTTGGTTTAAGGCTGGACGCTGTCACTTGCCTGTATTTGACGAAATTTCCCGCGTCGCAATCGGAGTGACCTCAAGGCTCAAAGCTTCCTGCCATGGTCTCCAGCTCTTTAGTGTATCTGTGTGTGTGTGTGTGTGTGTGTGTGTGTGTACGTGTGACTGTGATTTTGCGTGTGAGCATGTTGGTTGTTTGTGCCCGACTAGACTTTTGGTCGTTGCATTGCGTACTGGCTTCCTTTTGACGCAGCCTTGCTGTTTATTCAGAGCATCATACAGACTCAAGCCAATTGCATTCAACACCTACACAACCTCTGGCCCCCGTCCACAATACTGTAGGTTATATCAACTCCAATGGCCTCGTCAACGACGGCCGACGTTGGCTGGCATGTACTTATGTCCACATGTGCATATATTTGCATTGCCCGGGGTGTCGGCACGGACTGCGCTTTTCAACAACAATGAACCGCATAAACACAACCATGCGACACACGCACACACATAGCCGCCCTCCCACATATATGCACATACATGTGGCACATTCAACGCCAACAGCGATGCGATGCTTCACTTGCAATGCGCTAAACTTCCGTAGCCGGTGCCAAAGACCAGGCCAATCTACATCAAACTGCAAACAAGCCAAGAATCACGCAACTTGATGGCCATGGAGCCGGGACAGTACATGAACAACGGCGACTCGGACATTTGCAAACCTATTCGTGAAATCATGCAAAGATATTTAAAGTCGGACTTGTATTAATTCGGTTGTCATTAGCTTATAACGACCTATTCCCATATAGTTGGAGTGTTGGCATTAGGTTTCCTCACGAAGTACGTAATGCGTAGAAGGAAATGTCTCCAAGCACATAAAGTAAATATATTCTTGATTAGTATGAGCACAGCCGAGTCGACATAGCTAAATCTGTCAACTTCTTTGCAAGTCTCTGATTTAATAAGCTATCGTCATGAAACTTTATTGACCGCGAATGATTAGTAAGAAATTAGGTGCTTCTTTGAAGTATTGGGGATAAATTTAGATTTTTTATAGGGCGGAAAACGAATACTAAAATTTGATGCAAAAAACTTGCCACGGGCAAGGCCGGGTAACATCCGGAAGTAACTTTATAAAAGATTTAAAAACATTCCAAAACAAAAATCCACAATGAAACAACTTAACACAAAATCTTCCAAGAGCATGTGAAGCTTTTATAAAATATAAAATTGTATGGGACTGTGTAAGAAGTTGTTCTGTTGTTTAAACTTTTGCTTGCAGCTTATTTTTGTGCTTATTTCTCAATTACACTGTGCGACGGGTACAACATAAATTTTATTGCAGCGCGTAATTCAATTGCAATGGCATTTTGTGGGCCTCCCTAATGGTTATTCTCCAAATTTCTGTCATTACCAAGCGAGCTGGCTGCCACTGGCCCCTCCATACGTGTAAATATGTTCTAAATGCTCTATACACACGTATGCTTGTGTAATACATTGTCATGCCAGTTGGTGCTCTTGTTCTTGTTATTGTTGTTGTTGTTGCGAAATCAATTCTGCATAAATATAGCGCGTTGGCGTTTGGCAAAGTGTTTTTGGTCGACGAGACTCAGGCTTCTAATGTCCAATGCTCTTCAAGTACTGCAGTTTGAAGGTCACAGAATTTATTTAAAGTATAGTTGATCAATAAATAATATGCTTCAATTTGAAGACATTTAGTTTTAATTAAATTAACTAACTGAATCTATATAACATTTTAGTTAACTTTGAGAGTTTGTATTTAATTAGAAATCGGTGCCATATCGTTTTGTTAAATTTTGCATTCCATTCTATTTTGTAAGGGTATGTATTGATAGGATTCACAATTTATGTGGATATTTCAGTTTGATTTCGTAAAATGTCCTGCGCATGACAAATGTTTTAGAGGGTGTCACAGATCAACGCCAATTGTGGTGCCTATGTAATGAATAATGTGAACGAGTACAGCTCTGACCCAGGGCTATTTTATCCACACACAATGCCAGTTGGTTGAGTCCTGACTATGACTAGAATCAGTGGCACCACTATATCATATATTTTCCAATTCCACAAACATATAAGGGAATTAAGTTTCAGCACCTTTTCCGCAACGCTTATGTGCATTTATTTTCACGGGCGGGAAATGGGTGAAAATGTGAAAGACACAAAGTCATGTGGAATAATAGTTTGTTATTGGGGACGCACATTTGATTTACAAATTTTTTATGCTAATCGATATGTCAGTGATTATTATGTACATGGGAAAGCGTGAGCCAGGCCCTTATGTCAGCTAAATAAGTACCCACTCGTATGCACTCGCCGCTTCATGAGTGCCTCATTATAAGTATTGAAATATTTATGCTGCTAGCCGGTATCAATCATGTTTGCGTTCTGCAACAATCAAATAATTTTCCAAATTATTTGGTCATAACAAATTTATCTGTGGCTTTTACCCAAATTGAAATTCACTTAAATGCCAGCTAACAGCAAATTTATGGCCACAGTGCGTATGCGTAATATACAGCAAATAATTTGCAAGTGTAGAGATTTCATAACTTAAAAGTTATTAAGCGCGCATCACAGTTCTTAGCAAGACCATCTCAGGGACCTTACGTAAGAAACCAAAATGTTTTTGGATAGATAGCCCCGGCGCCGGGCTCAATCTGCGGGTGCAGCCCGCTTTTTAAATCGCAACAGCAATAGAATGTGATAGGGGACACCTTTCAGAGGCTTCAAAGGATTCTGCTTTGAATCCCAACTGTACTGTGTTATGAAGGATACAAGAAGAGTCGAGTGGTCTGCGAACCTCCGCAGACAAACCCCCTTTCTATGTGTGAGGAGGACGTATTGATTCCTGAAGACACAGCTAGTTTTTTTATACCCCCACACGATTGAAGCGTGTGAAAAGGCAGATGTATGTAATAAGGGGATGAAAGAAAATTTGACCACAAAAAATAAATATATTCTTGATCAGGACGATTAGCTAAGCCGATCTAGCCATATCCTTCGATCTTAGAAGCGAGTGAAATTTAAGCCATGTATTCTCTATACTCAAAACGGGATAATAATTTGTTTTTGCCGTTATCTCTTTTCATTATTAAAACAACTAAAAAATCAATTTGAAGCTTGTTTTTTTAAGCACAGCTCGAAAGTTATAAAAGCAAGATACATTTAGCATGGAGGCAATTTTAAAGTATAAGCCAATTTTAGATGTATCAGTTTTTGTAAACATTTCTCATTTGGCTCGAAATTAGAAAATGTTAAGTGGAAGAGCCATGCCATTAAGTATATATACGCGCATTTGGTTGTCATATTAATGACACTCCAAATTTTCATAAAAATCGGACTTTAAGCACCGACGCGGACTGGAGTCAAGTGTAAGCCGCACGTATGCTTGTGTTTCTGTGTATGTATGTAAAGCGGGCGCGGGGTTCAGGGGATTTTCTAATTAGGCATACCCGACTAGAGCACTTTTACTAGGTTTATTATTAGCTTGGCAACTTTAAACCCAAAGCTCGAATGAAAATCTGGCTAAGTAGTTGTGGCGAACCAGCAGCCTGCACTCTATCTATCTAACTCCCCAGCTGGCCATGCCTCTATCGAGCCGCGTAGTCGCATGTAAGTTTTAGCGATTTGTAGTAAGCCGACTTAACGCAATTTCCATATGAAATAAAATCGATTACAGCAACAATTTAAAGCTGCTTAAGCTGAGAAAAACATGGGCTCATCATTAACAGCATCGGAATTTGAATGTTTCAAAAGGCGCGAAGGTGGGGTCACGTCCTAAACAATGAATGCGTAAATCTGTCACAATTAATACCTTTAATCGTGCTCACGCGGCACGCGCAAAGTCAAAAGGAAGTTGCTGATGGGGTTGTCGGCGCGGAGGCTGGCGGGTGGAGGGGGGTGGGTTGACTCGGGCTGAGGCTGTGTAATTGTGTAAGTGGGCGACCGGAAACCCCCAGTTGCTCACTCATTTACACCGTTGGCAGCTGGGACAGGCGTCTGAATGGGTGAAGACACGCACGCGGGGCCTTTCACAGGCGTGAGAAGTTTGTCGCGCTCTCATTGTCAGCATGCTGTTGCAATTGCCAAGTGGCAGGGAGCGACCATTAAAGCCATGTTAATCGATTTTCTGTTGCTTTACATGCGCCAAAGCAAACCAAATCAAGCCAAGCCATGCCCTACCCTGCCCTGCCTCCGCCATGCCTTGTAGCCCACTATTGGCAGCTTCGCTAAGCTGTTGCTGGCACGGGCACAAGCCGGAGGTAAAGCCGTCGCAAAGTAGAAAATAATCAGCATGGCCCGGGGAGTTTTTCAGGTGGGCGGCAGCTTCGATGCTTGTACTCCCTCTCATGGCATTTGGTGTGGTGCGAGCCGCGAGCTGCGAGCTGCGAGCGTGGGGCATTCAACATAAGGTAACTACTCATGGGGCCGATTGCAAATCCGTGGACAGCTATTCAAATGGTTGT